GCAAGGTTATGGAGCGCATGGTCCTCCATCGCCTCCAACAACATCTTGAAGATACCCAAGCACTTCCTCACTGTATGATTGGCTATCGCTCACATCTTTCCACCCAAGATACACTGCTACGCATCCGCGAAGAAACCTTGCAGTCACCTAGCACAGCCCAGCTAAGAGCCATCCTCGCTATAGACCTCACGAAGGCTTTCGACTACGTGGACCACGACGCTATGCTCTCAGAACTCGCCGACACACAATGTGGCTCGCATATGCATAATTATGTCCGGGACTTTCTTCGATCACGTACGCTCTCAATTCAAATCGGCGAACACAAGCTCGACGCGGTCCCTCACCCACAGAGAGGCATCCCTCAGGGAGCGGTCCTGTCTCCAACATTATTCAATCTCGCTATGCGCCGTATCCACCGCGCCCTCCAACCCCTCCCTGACAATCGGTACTCTCTATACGCTGACGACGTCACTATCTGGATCAATCGAGGTGGTCCTGGTCACATCCAGGATTCTCTTCAAGCCGCCCTCGAAGCTGTTCATCACGCAGCCCGCACTATTGGTCTCGCTTGCTCGGTCGAGAAAACTTCCCTGCTCCTGATCCACTCTCGCCACTGGCATCCCCCTCAAGTGACCCTCCAGCATGACACCCACATCATTCACCCACAAAAGTTCCTCAAAGTCTTGGGCCTTCATATACAATCCGATGGGGGAGGCACTACTGCCGTGCAGAACATCTTACGCCAGGCTGCACCCTTCCTCAACATGATGCGCCGTGTTACCACACGCACCAGGGGGCTCAAAGAACAAGACCTCCTTAGACTTCGCGATGTCCTCATAATTTCCCGCATTCAGTATCAAGCACCCTACGTATCCCTCACACGTACTTCAGAACGCAAGCTCGACGCTCTTATTCGTAAGGCGACTAAGATCGCCCTCGGGCTCCCCCTAACCACTAGCACCACTCGACTGGTTCAACTGGGAGTACTACCTACGGTCTCCGACATTACTGACATTCATCGCATACATCAGCGTCAACTACTCTCGCTAACTCCAACAGGTCGCCTCATCCTGCACGAACTCGGCTATACACCCCATCCAACCGGACCTCAACCCACTCCCCTAGACAACACGATTCTCCAACATATTACCGTGGCCCCGATTCCCCGCCACATGGACAGGGATCGAAATCCCACTCGCCGTCTTCTCCGTGCGGCATACTACACGAGGAAAATCTCCCGAGATCCCGAATCTCATCACGTATTCACCGATGCAGCCTTAAACGACACCCTTGGTGCATTCGCGTACATCACTTCATGCGGCACTGAAGACTCGAGAACGCAGCGCTGCGCTTCCCCGGTCGAAGCAGAACTTCTCGCCATTGCACTTGCTGCTGCCAACAACTCTTCCCCTGGCCGTACCACCCACATCTACACGGACTCAAAGTCGGCCTGCTCCCACCTCGCTCAGGGCCTCGCATTCCCTTCTGCACTTCCTCTCCTCAACAATGTTAGAGGACCTCTTCACATCCACTGGATACCTGGGGGGCTATGTTGCGCTTTTTGCACTCCCAGGAGACTAGGGAGAGGGAAGTGACGTCAACGACACAGCAAACGCAGATTGGGTGTTTTGTTTTCTTCTGTCAACATCCAATCTGCATTTGCTGTGTCGTTGACGTCACTTCCCTCTTCCAAGTCTCCTGGGAGTGCAAAAAGCGCAACATAGCACCCCTGGTCACGCTGGCGTTGCCGTGAATGAACGCGCTCATCAGCTTGCCCGCGAAACGCTCCTCCGGGCCCCTGCTGGCGCTTGTGACACAGCCCCTCTTCCTCCTCCTCCCCTCCCCACCCTAGCGGACCTTCTCACCTCTCGTTGTACCTTTCCTCCGCCCCACATCCAGCTCACTCGTCGTGAGCAAACACTCATTCGTCAGGCACAAACATACACACTTCACACACCCGCTCGACTCCACCTATTTCGCCGCTCCTTAGGTGACCCTCTCCCTCTTTGTTCCCGCTGTCTCACCCCTTCCGACCAGGACCACTTACTGTGGGACTGCCCCCATAACCCGGCACAACCACACACTTACACCCGGGAGTGGCTGGCTCTTGCGGTCAGCCTCGAACAACAACGGGAACTGGCGGCCCACATCAACAAGGCCCTCAGCGGCTGCCTGGACTGAGGCGGCTGAATCATCCCCACCATCATATTTTTTAACAAAGTTTCTATCTATCTATCTATACTTCGTTTCAGCTTCGGTCCAGACGCAGCCAAAGCTACAAGCGCGAGCTCCGGGCTTTCAGCATCCCTGCCAAGCACGCGCGCTCGTGCAGTGCGAGCACAGTTCTGGGCCACATGCTCGCGCTTGTAGCATCGGCTGCGTCTGGACCGAAGCTGAAACGAAGTATAGCCTAGTTTCTGAGATGTTTTCTTATTTCTTCTTCCTTTAGTACAGCAACCCAAGGTAGTCACGATTTTGGCGTTTTTCTTCTTCTTTTAGAAAGACAACCTAGGGCGCGGGCGTATTTTCGTTGGGTTTTTGCTCTTCCTTTTATTTTTTAAAACTGCTTCACTTCCTTCTTGTCTTTTCTATTAAAACGTCAGTTGTGAGTAGCGCTCTGTCCTGTCCTGTCTTACCTTTATTTTCTCTTGTCCTTTGCGCTAATTTTAACCGAGTTATCTGAAGCAGGACTAAGATTCGGAAAGGTTGAGCAGATGACAGAGATTGGCAAGCTTGAGTAACTTTCTGAAGAGTTACTCACACCGGCGAATTCTGTCTTATTATTCCGGGAAAGCCTTAAAGTTGCTTTACAAGACACTTCACACAAGCTTCAGAGTTTTGCCTGGGGTCAAGCAATGGCTGCCCGTGCTGTCACCTCTGGCTCCCAATACGCGATCTAGCCTACGAGCAACGCTACTGAAACACCAAGTTGGGAAACTCCCATAGAGAGAGCTTTCAAAGGGTGGCCCAAATCTGTCTCCGAGCACCGAGCTTATGACGAACACAACGCCAGCCACCATTTCTCCCGCCGCGGCCACTCAAGGAACTGCACGTGACTTCTATTTTGGCTTTAAGAGCAGATACAGCGGAAGAGGTTACATGGGTGCCACCCTTGTCTCCCCGGCGGACGCGCCGCCTCTAATTGCCGAAGTTAAAATGCACCTAGGTCGGGACGCGCTACCTGAAAGCCCCGCTGAGGCATGGTTGTATAAAAACAATATTAATTGTGCCGCAAAACCCTGCCAACTAAAGATTTTAGAAACATAAAGCGCCCCTCTTTTTGTGCTAAACTCCAATAAATTTCTTACAAAGAGTCTTTTCCGCTTGTTTTTACGCAAAAACAAGCCTTCAAAAAGCTCAAGGTAACCACAGTACAGACAAGTGATAAAGAGTGGCGCTGTTGTCGCATTTAGCTCGGTCTCGGTGGACGCCAGCGGCCCAGGTTTCGACGGCGAGTTTCCCAACCTAGTGTTTTAGTAACGTCACCTACGAGTGACCACAACACACGTTGCTTCTTCAAGGCATTGTATTGAAATGTTTGCTTTTCGAAAACTGGGAAAGATGTACAATAGAAGCATGCCTGAAGGGCGGCGAGTCAATAATAAGTTTCAATGAACTTTCCGACTCGCATATACCAGTTTCGTTGAGAGACCGAGCAGGCGAAGAGTCCTGCTCATTAGTCCCTTGCAGATTGCTATACTAAAAAGGAGGCAAGAGGGATGTCCGCATTATTTGCTCTTCAGTTTCTTTCAGAGTTACTTTTTTTTACCCAGTTTTGTTCAGTCCCTTTTTCCGCATCTCTCGGGTGCTCCTGGGACGCAGTTTCGCCAAGACTTCGCAATCTGCAAGCCTTTCAGGCATCTGCCCTTTTGCAGTAGCGGAATTTCATGCCAGATTCGTTTAACCGTTTACCAGTCAATAAGCCTACCATGGGTACTAGGTGTTACATCTCATCTTCTCCACCTTCACCTTTCCCCATAAACGTCTAACCTCAAAACACGCCAGATTAAAAGATGACATTTTCACTCTGGTTGACGCATTCGGGCTGATCTCAAGACAGTCACCGGTTATGTTTAGCTCAGGTCACCGAAGTATACGTTGCCTGGAGATATTTTCGCATTTGCCGTAGACTCGTTTACAGCACAATGACAGTTTAGCCCCATGTCAGAGTACAACCATCTTCGCCCGAATTGCGAGCTAAAAACTCACCTCTTTTGTAAGCTCGTGAGAGGCCGGCTGGGGAGTAGGTAAACCACAGACTTGCACACTTTCCTGAAGCAATCGCATTCATTCAAAACACCAATGCAGACCAACAAAATCTGGTTCAGGACATTTATTGAACAGGACAGATACTGGCTTAAAAAGAATACTTTGTTCGACGCTTATGTACAGGGCTTAAAATGGAGTCCGTTTGTTAAAATAAAAAAGAAAGGATGTGGCATTTAGTTAAATATACCCCCTTCCTTACACCTTGGAAATGTCTCTTTGGATGATGCATGTGAATCATATCTGCACTGTACATGAGTATGAAAGAGACCGACCGTGGAAATTAAAAACTGAAGGGGAAGGGCAAGTAAAAGCTGCGAGATGCGAACTGCAGACGAGGCTACGGACCACCAGGATCAATGTCAAACGAGCCAAAAAACATGCGTCATGTTGCTCCAAGAAGTTGCAGGTCTCCGGTCAGAAAAACTGCTACGCGTTGCATAATTCCTCACTCTCGTTACTGGGCCTGGCAGCCAAGCCAACAGTTCCGCCTTTAGTCCGTCAAAGAAAGTGACAAAGCACAGAAATATTGGCCCCCCCCGGCCTCCCCTTGCACCACATCAAAAAACGGGTTTGATTAAAATGCTTGCAACAGCAGTGGCAACATTCATTCTTTTCACAAGGGCACAACACATGAAATTGCACACTTCCACCATCGGTGTACGTTATTGTCACACATGCAATTAAAAACTTGTTCGGGTTGAGCGGCAGTGGCGGTAACGCGGAGCCGTCCGCTAGAAAGGCAGCGTGCACGCAGGCTTCAGATTTGCGACGCAGTGAAACCTGGTGTGGAGGAAAAACAAAAGGCGGTGCGTGAGCGACATGAACCCTAGCAGCACACTTTGTTCTGCAATTCCTTAGGACATCCAAGGGACGTTCACTGAACTAGGCGCCGAAGTCACAAACCTCGCCCCAATTGAGGTGCACCTCCACTTCCTCGAGGAAGGCGCGAGGGCCGGCGCCGGCCAATCGGGAGGACGAATAGGCGACCTAGGCTGCTTATTCGCCCTCGCGAATGGCCAGCGCGGCCCTCTCGCTTTCCTCCAAGAAGCGAAAGGGCACCTAGATTGGAGCAAGGTTTGTGCATTCGGCGGTAAGCGTGCTAGTACTCGGGAAGGCAGGCAGCACCAAAATGGTGTAGGCCTAAGTAGGGCTCCATATTTTTAAGGGAGAATCTGTTTATACTCGGTTTTAGAACTGCTCCAACTGTCGACTGTTCCACGTAGGTTGAACTTGTATGAAGCGTATAGGCCCGTTATTAAAAGACAAAGGAAAGATTACTCTCGGATGGGGATGGAACAAGGAACAAGCCATTCCCAGCCAGACACCACACCGACTGAGCTACGCAGAGCGGGTGAACGGGGCGGCTAAATGCACTGGCACGCTGGCGCCATTAATGAGGCAGCTCCAGAACTGCAATTTACCAGGGCGAAGGTTTTGTGGTATTTGCAACGTCAAATGGATGTTACCACCAATGGGACATGGTCGTTCGTAACACCTCCAAAAGTTTTTCGAGCCAGAAAAGAAAAAATGATGCACAAATAAATTAAATGTAACTTTATGCAAACGGCAAGCATTCCGCAGCTACTCAAAGGACGGCATTGGCGTGTTCACTTGTCGCAACAGATCCCGAGAGCTGTCACTCGTCCGTAAGCAGTGCAAGCCAACCTTAACAGTTTGTTTACAAAGCCATATTTACACCAGCTCAGCTACGCTGACAAAGACCAGACAAAAAATGTGTCCAGCTAGCACACAAAAACTGCAGTTCTGCTAGCCCAGGAGAAGTCGTGAAGTCGAGAACATGAACGCGGGCAAACCGCTAAGCTGTACGGACCACCTGCGGACTACGTTCAGCGAGTCTTGAAGTCCAAACGGGCGCCTCATCATTTGAACTGTCGTCTGCTCTTTCAAACGTTCCTGCTTATTGTCGTCTGCTGCATAAGCAGGCCGCTGCACTGCAATTTACATGGCAACTTGCGCGGACACCGTGATGCGAAGTTATGGCATGCCGCCCCAACACAGCGTTCGTGCATGTTGCTATTGAAACTGCTGCACTTTCATTGGTCATGTGTCCTCTGCTTTAACCCCATTAAGCGTGCTTCTTACCGAGCACCAGAGCAGTGCGGAAAAGCAACACCCGCAGATACAAGCCCAGTAGGTGTTGCTTCTCCGCATGGCACCGGTGCTTGGAAAGAAGCACACTGAACGGGGGCAGCGAGACAAAAAATACTGAATTGCACGAAAATGCCGTTAGAATTGAACGGCTTATGAAATGGGATTAAAAAATTACATTAAACACAGTGGGACAACCCACATTTTTAAATTTAGTTCAAATTAACCAGAAGTATGGCATAACCGAGTTTGAACTGTTGCGAGCGTACTGTATGTCACAGAACTCTCTGTAAGTGTCCACACTAATGGCGAATTCAGATGGTCAACCGCCGGCAAGTCCGAGAGGGTGGTACCGGCAACCAAAAACGTGCCGGCGGTACATCACGTGACCCTCAGCAACCAAACATTAAACGCCAGACGGTGGCAGTTTACTTCGCCGCTTGACCGCAAGACACCGCTAGCGAGGCTGCTGCTGCCGCGTCACCCGTGTCCCAATGGCATGGACTGGCTCGAGTATTGGCTCCTGAAGTGACTTCACATCAGACAGGGACAAGTTGACGTACACACTGGCGCAACTCGGGGCTAGTATTTACGTCAACCTTTTTTCCCCGTCTTTTTTTTGGCGCTTGTCTACGATCATGAACCAACTAACTCAAATTGCCACATGGAGACTTCGTATCAGTATTGTTCCTTTTGCTCAGTTTTTTCTCGCTGACCCCTCCTATTTCGAAGGTGATGACACCGGATACAGTCTGGCGCCCACTCGCCTGGCCGCTCAGGTGGAAAAAGCGCCGGAAAGTTTTCGGTGCTTGCCGGAGAACCACCACCCTAATTGTGCGCGCCAGCCAGAAACTGACAACGGGAGCACCATAACTGCCAACCTGTGGACTTTCAAATTCGGAAAACTCCCGCAGCCGCGGGGGAAGTCGTAAGAGGCAGGCACTTATCCCTGGTGTTTATGCGAAACGATGTGCAGCTTAATGTCAGCCTTGCCACCGCGCGAAACGCTGACATCACACGTGCACGAGTGACAGAATGCAAACTTCTCTCCCTTCTTGGACGGCACGAAGCACGGGAATCCCAACATGTAGTATTTCGGGAACACCTGAAAGTACCTCTTTTGAGGTTTGGAGTTCGCCATTGCGCCTCAAAGCCACCGCGACTACGGAAATGCTATGAATATACTTGGAACAAACAGAGACCGCTCTGCTTGCCACACTGGCCAAAACAGCGAGGCACAACACGTCAAACCAACGTGCGCCGCGAAACACATGAACAAAGGCTTTGGATTGGTTTTGGATCCGTGGCCACTGGATAGACAACTAGTAAAATCCACGACGCTGTTGTGGATGGTACCTATCCCCCTCTTGTGGCGGTGCAATATACCGCCAGCAGCAATTTTACAAAAAAAAATTAAAAGAAATACTTATTACATTTTTTGTAAAATTTGAAGCAAGATTTGTAAAATTGTAAAGTTAGTAACAATTCATACGTTTCTCAAAAAATTCGGAAGAATGGGCAGGTAGGAAACACTATTGCCAGTTTTCTGGCAAAATAAATTGCCGACAATTGACCACCCGAATTTGACATAAATAAAAGTATGGAAATGCCATGCACTATCACCATACAGATGCTACGAAAAGTCAAAGAAACGATAGTTGTTGAAGAATGTGGCGTTTGGTTATCTCGCATCAGCGGGGCTAGCAGAGTGCAGCGGTTTTAAGTTTGCTTGAACACCGAGTAATATTCCTCTTCACTGCCACAAATACCATAAAAGTGTTCCCCTAAATAAACTTAAAAAAAAAACTTTCATCCTTTCCACTCTGGTGAAGAAGGAAGACTAGCAAAGCTGTACTATGGTGGGACGACCTCGAGGACGACCTCCTGGACGTCCTCAAGGACAACTTCTCTGGCGACCTCATGGGCGACCTCAAGGATGACACCTAGAGAAATTTAGCCTTTCCACTCTGGTGAAAACCAGAGTGGAAAGGCTGGAAAGGTTGCCGCCATTGCTCATAGATGACGGTAGCTGGAGAAACTAGCCCTTAACAGCTCCCTGTAAAACTACAAGGGACTTGGGAGTTCCCAAAGGAAGTAGAACCGCATCGTTTTGAACGCAATGGTACTACCAGTGATTATACTGCATGACAGCAACAATGCAACCTCTGATGTTCTCACCAAATGTCTTCCCTTTTTTGCAAAGGATGTTTGACACCATGCCCGAAGTACCGTCAATCATTGCTGCTTTCTCGAAACAAGCCGCCAGACAAGGCCAAGATATCAAGTCTTAAATCGATGTTCCCCACATGGTCATTTTTGTCACAGGAGTCTTGACAATTGAAATTCGAGGGCTCACAAGGGAGCACAGAACAAAAAAGCATGCAGTCCAGTCGACTCACTTGGAGGACTTGAACTTTTCCTGGATGGCCTGCTGTGCTTGTGTGCCAGCATTGCAGAAGCTGCTGTAGAGGCTGTGGATGCACTCCTTGAAGTCCTCCACGTTGTAGCCAGAGTAGAGGAGCAGGTCCGAGGACTGCATGGAATGAGGAGGGAAAGACATACGGATTGCGGAAGTTAAAGGGGCACTCCTGCGTTTTCTTCATAGCCCCCGATTTGCCTCTAAATTGACTCAACTGTGAGCATATGTTAACCGTGGCCATCTGTTATTCTTCCGACCACTCTGCCGCCCCCGCTCCGTTCTTTCCATCCGAATTGCTCCCCGCAACCCGAGTTCTCTGGAGCCAACGAGTCCTCGCCGTTCAAACCACCGTCCATTCTTTTCGCCCTCAGTTCTACCCATCGCCCAAATGTAAACATCAACCAAGTAACTCTGCTCGCAAGCCCCCACAGCAGACTTCTTCGCCGCAGCTGTAACCTTACCCCTCACTTCATAAACTACCCCCCCGCCGCCATCGCCTCAAAGTACTCCAAGCACAAGTTCTTCTCTTTCCAGTTGCTTCCGCCCGTCTCACTGACTCAAACCTTTGTTTTCCGTAATAAACAGTTATCTTTACCTTTAAAGTTATTCTTTCTTCCTGGGGCCTACCCCCGGCCCCCACACAACAAACACTGCCGAATTAACGAAATTGTTTGGACAAAATATTTCCGCCAAGTTATTAAATTTACAATGTTGTTCCTCGGCTTTCTTTTTGAGACTGAAAGTTTCTACTGGCAACAATGAAAGAGTGTCGCCACCGTTAGGTGAGGGTTCATTATTGGAATGTAGAATAGGTTCCCACTGATTAGAAGCAGTTTCATGGCATCAAATAAATGTTTTGGAGCTCGATCAACCACCCATGCTGCAGCATGAAACAAATCCTTGGCATACTGTACTGCATTTACACGATTGTAGGTCGAGTCGTACAAACAAACCATTCCACTGCCGACAAAAATGAATCAACTGCGACATCAAGAACACTTTTGCTCGAGTTCAGTCGGTTGAACGAGTAACATTGCGCCATTCCGTACGCTTATTTCACAACTTTTCCTCTTTATTTTAATTGCAGGGAAAATTATTTATTTCCATTCGCAAACCAGCCTGAATGTTTCGAAGTGAACGGACGCGCCTGAATCACAAGGGTGACGACACTTAACGCAAGAGCCCCTTCGGAACGAACCAGGAACAACCTCACTCCCCTGCTTTTCGCAAAATGCACGGTCGCACATCGTTTGATCGAAAGTCGAGGTCATGCAAGCTTGCTGGAAAGCCAAACAAGTTTCTATCGACACTTGTGATCCAGGCAGCTTCAGATTTGGGTGCTCATTCACGGGCCGTCCTTCGTGCGAAAGCGACCGAAAACAGTGCTGCTGGACGCAAGTTCGACCCGTCAAAGCGTGCGGTGCTCCAGCAGCGTCTGCAGCGGCAGAGGGGCTCAATCGGGGCGACAAACTAAGAAGTTTCCGAGGGCCAAAGTCTGGACAGGCTTTCCGGAATTAGAGGTCAAGCTTGCAATGTACGTCGCAGAAGTGCGTGATCGTCTGTTGCCTGCGACGGGCGACGCGATAACAGAGGAAGCGCGGAAGATGCGGTCATTTGCTAAGAGCGAGAGTTTGTAGGACGACATCGACGAATCATAGTGTTTAGTAGCGGAAAAAGAGTGAGAAGGACAGGGAGCAGCTTCAGTTGTTCCGCCTCCAGCTTTGATAGCTCTCCGGCATCTCGTGCGACTCGCACGTGTGTGAGCGGCCAAAGCACGGGAGAAGGCATCCAATGCATGCTGGAGGTCGAGGTTTGCCATAGAATGTGCCTCTAAAGTATCTTTCTTTTTTGCTGCTGTGGAATTTCTTCAGTGGGGGGGTCACATATAATTGTGTAAATACGGTATTTTGACTCCCTGCTCGTCTGTAATGTGACACTGAAAAGGCCACGTATACTTGAATGTTGGGTTTGACATCACATTTATTTGCCCATTTCACAATAACTATTTTTACTTTTGCGATACAAAACAGTATACCAGAGATGGTAAAGCCCGGCGATTAAAAAAACCGAGTTAGTTGGGTGGCTGAAAAATGTGTCGTGGGAGTACCCCTTTAAGCACAACAGACGTCAATGGCTTTTAGGCCAAAACTCCTCGACATTTGCCGCACAACGATGGCTCATAAAGGTCTGCATAAAAAGTCACAGATGCGCCGCTTGCCCACTGCGCGATTGGTCAAGGGGGCAAGGAACCGCCCACCTGAACTAGAGTGTCAGTAACGCAACATGGAAAACAAACACTCGCAACAAATCTTACAACTAGAACATTAAAAAATGCAGTCTTGCCGTCAACGCGATGAAGATCTCTAACCACTGTGCGAGACCGACAAGGTATCTATGCTCGCTGAGGTTCTCATTTTAACATGACCTACAATAGCCGAACCACCCATAACAAAATTTTAATGCGAAAGCAATAACTGGTCCCATGGAGCAAACCGCAGTCATCAGTATTGAAACCGCGCCAAACGGCACCTTTCCCCTTCCAAATGTCGTCCGTAGCAGAAATCTGATGGCCTATTGGCTGGCGCATGTCATAATTCCAAGAAACAAGGCTCCCATTGGCTCTTGTGCGGCGTAGTTCCCCTGGATGCCAGCAGAGAAACCCTCTCCATGGTGGCGCAGCGCACTCGGCAACCTGGCAAGGTGCGGCAGTGCGGGCCTGACCGCAGAGCCCGTCCGGGCAAACTCAAGAAAGGGTGAACGGCCGAGCTCAGTGCGGCACGGGCACTTCACGAGAGCGCGTGCTCGGCCGTCGGCAAGCAAAATCTGGCAGTCCACGCCATGACGCCGCAGACAAGCTGAGGGAACGGAAGGTTGAAATATATGCTTTCGCATCCACAACTCATAAGTGCGTAGGAGTCCTCGAAATGTATTGGCTGGAAATTCGTTTTCTCTCCGCCCAAAAACAGCCGATTTCAGTGGCGTTCACTCTTTTTTCTATGGTCACGTGGCGTTCAAACTACAGTAATCCTTAGCTATAATGAAGTCAAGAGACAGCAAAAAAAATTTGATATGGTGGTACTTCGATAAAAGCGAGAGAGGCAAAAAAACTAGGGCCAACACCTTGAAGGCGGATGGTAAGACTACGGTAAACTCTGACCGTACATTTAATCAAACCAACCTTGGTTATGAACATCTTGCAGCCGATTTATGGAGTAAACAAATAACTTAATGGAGTTTGCAGATGATTTAATCCTGGCACGAGTTCTCCTCGAATTGCTCCAGGCATTGCAAGAACACTGTCACCGCCACCGCACTCCACTTTGTTTCGAAGTAGCGGTAAGATGTTTCGCATCTCCGCAGTCGTCGGCGTTTCCTGAGTGCCTCTCCAACGTCACTTCGTGTTTGCCCCGGCCGCACGCAAAGTCTGCGATGGCAGCGTCTGTTGCAGGACCTACAACGGGAACGTCCGCATCGACAAGCACGAACCAATGAAAGTTACCCTCAAGAGCTTTGCAAACGTTTTTTAGGGATGCCGCGAACCTCCCAGAGTTCCGGTTCTAAAGGTTTCGAAATGTTCAAACCTCTCTTAGATCCGAATTTGAAAAGTTTGCAACATTATAACTCTGCTAAGGTTCAATGTTTCGAATAATTCGAAAATGTTAAGCTTTCTTAAACTTATGAGTCCAAAGACATCAAAATATTTTTATAGATAGCTAGAAAAATTTGGTTGTTGAACATTGAATTGAACACCGAAAGGTTCAAAAGTTGAATTTTGAATTCCAAGCCTGAATTTCATGGAAATTGAGGCTTCGAAACTACGAAATTCAAATTCCAGTTTCAAACTAAGTTTTCGTGAATTCATATAAAACAAAACGCGAAATGTGCTACAAATTTTACTCAAAACGTTGCCCATTATTCTTACGTCGTGAACATACTCCTTCCTTCTTCGTGCTGTGCTACTGACGGTACTACATCTATTACTCGTTATTTGTCGTAACTTACGAAACACGCGTTGAACTGGTTGGTAGTCTCCCGACTCCATATTAAACCGCCTGGCAAAAAAAAAGTACTTTTGCGGAGATGTCATTGTCTCTTGAAAGGCCGACGTACAACCTCGGTTTACTGCAGGGAAGACAATCCTTTTAGCTTTCCCCTCTCCTAAGCTGCAAGAAGAGCCAAGTTGGGGCGAGGTAAAAACTGGAGCATATGGGAAAGGACAGCAAAAGTGGAAAGCGAGAAGTCGGCTTTTAAAAGGTGGGGGTGTGTTAGCACCGCTACTTCTGTAGCCACATCCTCATTGCCGTTCACCACAAGGAATAAGAACGCTAACCGATTGATAAGTCTAACTCACCCACGGGCATCGGTTTAGTGTGTGGTTTGCCAGGCACAAGGACGCACCGGCAACGATGCTGGGCAGGTACTGAAGGTACGGCTCGTCCTCCAGGAACGTCAGCTCGCAGAGATACTGGAAGAAATGCCTCGCTATACTCGAGTGGCAACTGGTTTAAAAGCACACAGAAGGCACTTCCGAACTTCTCATAATTAACACGCTTGATGGAAAGGGTAGATGCCCCTTTAGGCCAGTGTTGTGGAACAAGCACTCTCTGCCCCGCCCAAATTCCAGGGAATTAGATTGTGCCTTTCAGCTCCCAGGGGTGGAGACACGGAGCCCATTCTCACTCTTGAAATGGCTAAACTGCTACACTCCTCCGGTTCCTAAAAGTCGAAAATGGCTTTTCTCAGCTCCATGGCATAGCCGGCAAAATCTGCATAACGTCGACGTCATAAAATGCGCAGCAGACGACTGCATAGACCGGCAAAATGCGTCCACAAAGCACTGATGTGAAGAGCACGTTATGCAAACCACAACCTCTTGCGGTCCCTTACAGTGCAAGAGCACCCCCGGCGCCATCTGTCGGGCAGCTGTGGAACTCATACGATTTCTGAACATTTCCCATTTTTTTATTCACATCATTCTTTTGCTATGCAGAGTGCAAGTTGGTTTGCTTCTTTGCAGGGGTGTCAATAATGTCAGAACGACGATCTCTTATTGGCTGAGGGAAAAAATAGTCGGTAGACCTGAAGGCACCTAGCAAAGAGGTCTACCCACTGTTCTTTCAAGCAAAGCCAATCAGAGCCCGGCGTCGTCCGGATGTCACCATAAATCCTGTGGAAAAAGCAGACTTTCTCTCCGCACTGCCTTGAAAACCTTACCCTAAAGTTCCGAGAGATCGCCCATCCCGTTTTTATGGCTGAATATCTGCAACAAAAATTCCGAAACATTGCCCACCCCCCCATTTCCGTCGGACGTCACTCAATGTCCAATGGGAATCGCGTCAACCGCGCAATTTGCTGTACCGGCACGTGTGACAAGCGAGTTTATAGCGGGTTCGCGCGTTTTTGTCCGTGATCTGCGCATGCGATATCGGCTCCTGTAACACGCGAGTTGTTCCCAGGTGTATGTTGCACTGTGAAATGTGAACCTGCTGCGTCCGCAATCTGTGGTATCCGTTTCCGTGACATAGTTTTTAGCGGATTCCTTCCCCCTTGTCCCTGATGTGCATGCGCGATATAGGGTCCCGTGACAGGCGGGCTTGTAGCGAATTCCCGCGGGTTTATCGCACCATAATCATCTGCTACGTCCGTGATTTGCGGTATTCGTTCCCTTGAGAGTTCTCGGCAGATTTCCGCGGGACCTTAACACCATGAAACGCGAATCTGCTGCGTCCACAACCTGCGGTATCATTTCCCGTGACACAGGAGTTTGTAGCGAATTCTTGCTTGTTTATCGCATTGAGACACTCGAATTTGTGGTGTCCGCAATCTGCCTTATTAGTTCTCGTATCGCGTGGTTTCTAGCCGGTTTTTTATGAAGTTTTGCTGAGGCCTCCCCAAAGATAGCCCACCCCCATTTTTCATCATTTATTTCTTCATTTTGGGTGGGCGTTCTTTTGGAACTTTACGGTAATGTGATAAACGAGCACAAATACTGCAAAACCTTCACTGTAGTGAAATGCAGTTCCAAAGTTGTCTCATACATGGTGCCAGTATTTTCTTTTGTCTTAAAGGGGAACTCAAGTGCTTTTCGTAGACGCTTGTTTTTAATGGCCTATTGTACATTGGGCCCTTGGTCAATACAAATGACCAGTTCTAGATGGCAAAATGTCATAGTAAACTACCAGCAAAAAATACACCACGAATACTTCCTCTTCGGGGAGTGGGGAGGGAGGGGCATCCTCCGGTCTGCACCCCCTCCATAATATTGGACCAATGAAAAGAGGTAGTTGCATGGAGATCAAATATCTGTAATATTGCTCTTTTAGGTGCATCAAACATTATATTTTGACAAGAATTAAATCTTCGGGTGCCCGATCAGGTGACATAAGCGTCGATCGTCTGCAAACGTCTCCGCCTTTCCTCCTCGCCACCCGCAAACACAGCGCACTTGCAACCAATCATCACAGGAGGTTTCCACCATTAAATTGTGAATGCTCCTTATGGTTTAAGACTAATCTTTTTTTTTCAATCTAGGCTTTAGTGAAAATGCCGTCCGACCGCGCCTCCAGTGTCTGCTTTAAAGGAATCGTCTGGTCGAAACCGGAAGTACTTAAGTTTTGCGCTCGTTACCTCCAGGGAGCTTTCATGTAGACAAACGTCATTTTTATTTTGATATATGATCTCCAGTTATCAATTAAACCTTTTATGAGCGTATGTACAAAACTGCACCCCAAATTTAGCCAGTGTCAACGGCTGACATCCGCAGCTGCTGCGTGACATCACAAAACGCAAAGGTTTGTCGGATGGTCAGGATAACAAGCGTTGGTCGACAGATGTCTTGTATTTTGTCTCGAAGTCTACCAGGCTGTACCTTATTGAAATACGGTTCTTTTAATGCAGTTCCCAAGCGTGTGAAAAAAGTAACGTCTTTTAGCAGGATATTACTCGAAAGCAGCCATAGGTTTCGAGCAAACGTATGCCGTTTCGCGGAAACACAACTGCGACGGCCACTGATTGAACTAAGAGCACTGCGAGCACTTGGAAAGCAAAGGATGCAGATATCGCCTCTCAAGCGGCAACTAGGTACACGAAGCGGCATCTGGGTGCACATTTCGGCGGATCTACGGGATCGGTGATGAGGCCGAGGTTCGTTCCCTGGGAGGAGATGTCCGAGGGTCGAAGGCAAACGGTGAATCGTTCAAATGCATGTTGTCACTTGACTTGGACGAGCTTGATGATCATAGCCACGCTCTAGTTTTACAAGCGGGTCTAACAGAGTTTGGCTGCGCGCGTGCTAAATACACCTTTTCGTATCATTTCCAAGTGGTCTAGCTGTTGGTTTCGGTTTTGCTGCATAATCAAATTGATTGATCCGATTTGGGCGAGGAGTGGATGGACGTAGTTTAATATCGTTGGAGCAGCATCACACCTGAGCTTACGAGCCTTCTGCCCGTTTAGAGCTCAGCTCGTAGCTCTTTTCTGCGAGATGATTGCTGCATGAGCAGAATCTCTATCTTGACGGGAACCCAGTCCCTACGCACGGCGACGATCCATTTTGCACGTCACCGCACGTTTTGCGGAGAAGTGTGGAACGTCATGTCTTGGCTCGCCTATGCTGTCCGGTGGTTGTGGCACCTAACCGCGCTACAAAAATATCACCCAACCACAAAATCAGTCGAGCACGACTACAAAAACGAAGCACGCTGCGGCGTTCGCTCGCAGGCAAACGACGAGACGGGAATGCTTGTATTGCATTGTGTGACGTCAGAGCTTCAATGTTGCCAACGAAAGCCACGTTTACGCTAGGAAGCGATGAGAGCACTATAAATTTAATTACTCATTCAATTGGGCATATACAATTCAAATTTTGCGCGTGCGATGCTTCTCGAGGCAATAACAACGATATTCAACTGCTTTCTCAAATACAAAATTTCACTGGACAATTCACCTTTAGGGCGCAGAAAGAGGTGCGTGTCACACCCTTCGCTTAGATTTTTAAAACGGAAATCTGCCACCCACGAGCGTAATTTCGGCTCTTTTTAGGATGACTTGAGCCCGCAGATTGAGTTGTCGTCACAAGCAGACAATCTTAGATCCCATTTGAGTTCTGCTTTAGGATATCGCACAAGGTCGTAATGAATCAAGTCGCAAGCGGTCGCAAGAGTGCGCACCGGCCTTTGGTGACAAAGGCGGCACCTAATCAAAGGAAGCCTCTCACATGAGCCAGGTGCTTGACGGTGTCCGGGGCCTTGCCGACTTCCGCGAAGCGGAGCAGGAAGTAGTAGATGGTGGGGGCCGCCATGTCGAACGAGAGCACCTTGAGCACCAGCTGTTCCATCCGGAGCACCTGCTGCTTCGTGTACGTGTCGTCCGTGATGAAGACAAACTCCGACACCTCCGGCGGGTAGATCTCCTCAAACTTCCTGCAGCGCCCGCGTCAGACGCACCGATTGGTCTACACACAAATGGCGCATTTACTAAGGGTAAGAGAGAAACGAGAGCGGTCTTCTGGCCGTACGAGCTAGTCGTGCCAGAGCTGCTCGTTCAGAAGAGCGTTCGTAAGCCACCGGTGAATCGTAGTGCCACACTCCACTGGAATGAATCCTCTCTCCCTTTTATACTAGGTGGTTTGTTTCGCCTGTAAATTCATTTAAAATACAGTATAAGCAAGAAAGAGCATATCCACTTGCATGTCTGCAAATAGAAATCTGTCCCGTAAGTTTAATGAACCTACCAAACTCGAGACATATCCCAACCTGCAAAGACAACCACCCAAAAATATTATAAAAGACTACACTTGAGCTTTAAAGGTGACACATCTCTTAGCGGCGATCAGTGTGCTGCTCTTTCGATCTACTTTGCATGGGAACTACCTTGCCTACTGTATTTATTCGAATGTATATACAGTATACGATTAATTTTATCGCGGACTCAAAATTTGCGATTTAAGTCAAAGCTGAAGTTTTGGAATATTTTGCGGGTTTCAATTTTCGCAAGGCGGTGGGATGATCTAAATATAGATTCCAATATGTTTACATTTTACCGTAATTGTTCGCGGGACCCATTTTTCGCAAAATGTAAGCGATTCGCAGAAACGAGGTCCTCGTAAAAATTAAGTTTTTGACAGTATACACCAGGGGTGACCAGGCTGACCCAGCCTAAGAGCCGCAAACAAAACCACGAAACCTCCAAGAGCCGCGGGGGGGAGGGGGGGGGGGAGGCACACCTTTTGTTGAGAGCAATAAACGAAACTATCCGAGTCGAAAGCAGATAAGACTACCAAACCCGCAATCTGTCTTTCGATTTAAAACTCATTCTATTTCTGTCTTGGGGAAGTGTGTGTGTGTGTGTGGGGGGGGGGGGGGGGGGTGTAGGAGAGGGAGCCGCGAGCCGCACTTTAACATGCGAAGAGCCGCATATGGCTCGCGAGCTGCAGCTTGGCCACCCCTGGTATAGATTCTTCTTTTTTTCTCCCTTCTTCTATGCTTTTTTTTTTTTTTTTGAAGAGATTAATTTGCAATTAGGCCAAAGCTCAACCTGTAATAAAGCTGGGCATAATATGCATGTCCATCGCTTTAGGCCAGGCGCTGCCCCACAACAGCCGCTGCTCGTAGCACTCTGGTGCAAAGCGGCGAAGCTTGACGTGCGCACACTGATGAAAGTCAGTGAAGTTTAATGCAAGCGGCGCAAGTGCACCGGTGCAGCCATGACATGGAGGCATGTGGCAGACACGATAACCGAGTGCCTTTATCAGGAGTACGAGTAGCTGCAATCAACGATCTTAGTATTTTGCAACAGGCCTCTCAAGACTCGGTGTCCGAAATCCGCTGGAATTTTAGACGTCGGCGATTAACCAGCCAGTGCATCAAGCGGCCAGCGCGGTCGATGCCGAGCATCCACGGCTCTGCCCAGCTGATTTGCCGCTTCAAAGCGCGAAATCATGGCGTTCGTCGTCCCCTTGTACCTGTGCTTTCATCGGCTAAACCAGTCAAGTGCAATGAATAGCCCCGTGACTTGCACCGATTATACGAGAGTCTGTGGTTATAGGTGTTCGAGCCTTTGCCAGTGCTCTGACATAAGACGAAGCAAACTATACGGTGCGTACAGACGCCGGGAAATACATGTTTGCAGAATTTTTCTTTCCCTCTACTTTCCCCAAATATCAAAGTGGACCAATAATAAAACATCCATTTTTTCTCCTTCAGGCCCATTTAGGCGCACGTGAGGCACAATTCTCAGCAAAAATGGCATTCTGGCGCAAGAAGTTCCAGGATTCATAATGCAATTAGGCGCAGCACTTTACCGATGCCTGGGGCACATAAATCGGGCTTGTGCCATAAAAGCTGCCCTAACGATAAAAAAAAAAGAAAGAACAATCATTACTGTTGGGTGTAATCAAGATCGCAGCACGAACGTGACGTCACCACCTTCCCTCTCACGCACGAAGAGAAACGCTTTGGCCGACCTGCCAGCCGCACGGCAGAGGCGTCCACTCACGCGGCGATGTAGAGGGCGGCTGTGCCGACGAGCTGAAGCTTGTTGCGGATTACCGACATGGCGGAGAGGAAGCGGTCCACGTACGAGACGCCGAGGAAGAGCGTCTCCGGGTGCAGGCGATACTCCTCGGCCACCTCCACCAGCCAGTCGACGAGGATGGCGCGCATCGAGGACGTGATGTCCGGCTGCTTGCTCATGTAAGTCGGCTTCGGGGTCAGCTTCTCCTTCGCGCACCCGGGGAGAGAAGAGGAGAGCCGTGAGAGACTCGCGTGAGAAGGCGTGCTTGAGGTCCTGCACCCTTTGCCGTTCTCGTACAGTGCCGCAACAATTTTTAATATTTTTTCAACAACTTACGAGGCATTGAAAATGACAGCTCAGAGTTCCGACGCTTTCAACGACTTGTGGGAAGCCTACACGATCGACAGTTTCGTTCAATTGCTCAAACTCTTCGTTGCTGGTTAACTAAGGTTTCGTCTGAGGTTGTGGAACAGCTGAAAGGGATGCTGAACCGAAATCTGGATTCCCCAAAACACGCGGCAAAAGTGTGCAACGGGATGCTACAAACACCAAAACATCACTCATACCGTGATATCTCAAACAAACGACCGTATTTAAAAAAAAAAAAAAAAAAAAAAAAAAAAAACCGAGGCGCATTTGGCAGAAATGTTGACGTCCTCTTTCTCTGAGAAAGGGAGTGAACTGCCTTGCGTCTTCTCAGTCTCGCCGCCTTGAGGGAGCGAAGCGAAGAGTGGAGGAAACAAGGTATCTTGACGGTCACGAGCTTCGTGGGCCTGGTTCCCAATCTCGACCTCTTTTTTCCGAAAATACGGCCGTCCATTTGAGATATCGCCTTACGAGTAATGTTGTAGGGATTGTAGCGTCCCGCTTACATCTCGTGCATTGTTTTTTTTTAAATACAAATTTCGGTTCACCATCCCTTTAAGCAGTTCCGCGAATGAGCGAGACGATGTTGCCCGAAACTCTCGACGCCATATCTAAGGTTCACAAAGTCCCAATTCGAGTGGTAGCTATAGTCAACTGATATGCTTTGCGAAACAATCGGGGAATCCGGTGTCACTAGTCTGGGTTCCCAAACTGCCTTTTGGGGGATGTAGGGGGTTCCTCCAGGACTCTCCAAACTCCCAAATTTCCTCGAACGTCCCCACCCCCGAGTGAAGCGTTTCCTTGGTTTAAGTGCCAATTTAGCAGATCTAAGCCACCTGTCAATGCTTAACTACAAGCCATACACTTCCTGCACATCCTGTACATCTTGTAAGCAACGGTGGCTCCTTAACCTCCTCACTGGGGCATCTAAAAAATCCTGTTACCTTATCAGTTTGACATTGTTTTCAGAATAAACGTCCAGTTTTAGGTAAACATCTGGGCAAGGCCACTGGTGCAAGCGCAAGAAGACAAGTTAGTCCTGGTGCCAGAGTTTTGAGAGGCAGCAATTCAGGTTCCACCAAGACTAGCTTCCAAGCGGAGTCGCGTGCACTCTGTCCTGCACCAGATGCTCATCAATTACAGTCACTCGAAGAAAGGGAAGCACAGTTTCCCGACCGGTGCCGATCACGGTGGAGAGTCCCCGGCTTCTACAGAATCGCCGAATTCCCCTAACAACTCACGGTTTCCACTGTTACCAGGTTGGTAGATGACCAGTTTACTGCATAAATCTCCACATTGGGGTGTCCTCGAGTCTGGAACATTCCCCGGAGCGGTTCGCTGGCGAGTGCGGGTATTTCTCCCGGCGAGAGATTATCTGGTGACGTGACTGGCTCAAAGGACGAACATTACCTGTACTCAATGTCACTAGTTGTGTGCAGTGCAGGCCAAGGCAATGACAGGCAAAGAGAGAAAGGACGAGCACTAGGAAGGCGAGGGGAGAGAGGCAGAGCACTACGAGCCTTGGAGAGGAAAGGAGGTTTCTCTCCTCGTCCCCAGCCTCCCTAGTGCTTTCCCCTTCTCACCTGGCGCTGCCTTTGCCTGAACCGCATGCAACTAGTAACACAGGCAATAGCGTTCCAGCCGATATCGCTCGTCAGACCCTTGCCCATTTTTTTTTACTCTCACTCCAAGACTATCTTTCCCAGAGATAACTTCACATGCCGCTCCTAAAGCAGACAAATGCTATTAGTCTCGCATTTCATGCCTCTTCATCTTCTCGCCCGTGCAAAAGCGTACTCGAATAATCTCAGTGAGGACAGAATTGTGTCAAAAGGGGGCTTAAGCTACGTCTTACTTTCTGTCCATGTCTCGTGGCACTTCTGTCAAAAGGAATGACGTACCAACTAGCCCGTCTCTCACTATTGATACTATTTATGGCAGCCATTTGCCAATCTCACAGCCACCTATGCTGCCCTGCAGAGTCGAGGCTGGCGCATCTTCCACAGGGCTCGCACACCGTTAAAGCCACAAGCTCGAGCGCTGTATTGTCTAAAGAAACGATAGACGAAACAGAAATCAGATAATAAAAAAAGAAGACGAAAGTCGTACAACTGAATCGGCGTTTCTTCATCTTACATTTAACTACACCTCATTTGCGTTTACAACGCGTTTAGACGGTCTCCTTTCCATGAGAGAGCGTGAAAACGAGATGCAAGACAAAGCCGTGCACTCTCGCAGCAGTGCCGCGCTGCAGCACAACACAAGAGACGCTCTACAACATAGCAGAAAACAGCAGACGTCGAGTTTTCTTTGTAGGTACCTAGTCTATCAGGAAGCCGGTCATGCGACAGCCGAACCACCGGCAGAAATAGCCACATTCCCTAGCAAACCGACCCAGGTGGAGAAAGCGGCCCATTCGGCGGCTCTACTACACCGGCCGCGGCGAAGCCGTTCCAAAACGAAGCAGCGGCACCGTCTCGCCATGCCGCAGTCACACTGCTCGTACAACGTACAAAAGGTATGGTGCGTACATGGAGCACGTTTGCTTCATACTTATGTATGGTTCCAACACATCCTTGCAAAAGGATGTGTTCGCATATCAGCAGCAGCGTGAACGAAAGAAGCCCACCCACCTCCTGCTGCCTGAGGTGGGTGTAGATGTCCTGGGCGTACTCCGAGCTGGCCTCCAGGTCCCGGATCTCCATGTAGGACATGGGTTCCAGGGTGTGCAGGGACGTGTCCAGGACCATGGGGGAGTCTGGGTCCAGGGTCGGCAGGGTTCCCCGGTTGGAGAAAGAGGGGAAGACGGCGGGGGGTCCGCTCGTCGGTGCAACCAAATTGCCGCCCCCAACATGTTTTGACCGGAGCGCCCGGCCTCCTGTTCCGCCCACGCATTACACCATCTCCAGAGCGGCGACGAAACGAGTCGCAGGAGCCGTCGAGTAAAGGTGGATTCGGGCATTTGAATTTCAGTGACCAACTACGCCGCGACTCCTCGAGTAAGCCTCGTGTTCCCCAGTCTGTCGCACTCTATGCAAATGTCAGAACAGGTATGCATCAGGTAGGAGCCTCTCTGGCACTTGTCAATGCGTAAAAAACTTCGTGAGGTAACAAGGCTGTTTTTACTTTAAAGGTGCACTAAAGACGTTTCTGAGATCGTCTGTTCTCAGGGGCGGATTTAGAGGGGGGGGGGGGGGGGGGGGTCCGGATGCCCTGACCCCCCCTCTCGATTTCTGAATGTGTAAATTTAGGGCGTGAAGAGAGGAAAAAGGGGTTCCATAACATATGGTACGCTGACCAACTCCTGACCCCCTCCTCAGGAAATTCCTGCATCCGCCCGTCCGTTCTTGGTGACAACTCATTCTATGGGATCTTAGCACCACAGAAATTTAAAAAAAGTATGCTCGTGCGACGTCCATTTTCCTACTAAAAATGTGATTGACGTTAGTGACATGCCCTTTTGTGAGCGGAAAACTCTGGAGCACAGAATCCAGCGGACGCGTGACAACGGGCACACGGCCTGGCTGACACTCATCGTCACTCGGCTGCCTCCGCTGGATTCTGTGTTCCAGAGGTTTCCACTCAGTAAGAGGCATGCCACTAACTTAAATCAAATTTTTAGTAGAAAAATGGACGTCGTACGAGCATACTTTTTAATTTCTCTTGTGCTAAGATCCCGTAGTATGAGTTGTCACCAAGAACAGACGATCTCAGGAACGTCTTTAGGGCAGTTTTAAGTTCGGAAGCTCCTTATGCCATGAGCCAATGGGGCTAACCACAGCGCAATAGGTGCATATATGCGGTGGTCCTTAAATTACGGGAAAGGCCCAGTAACTCGCGTTTTCGAAGTTCTTTGGTCGGTCCCATCGTCTGCGACTGAACTTAGTGAAACGGTGTGTAGGAGTTGTGGGAAAAGCCGCAACGCCGACGGACGGTCCGCAGGTACGGGACGCGGCGGTAGACTCACCCAGGGCATCGCACTCCATTCCACAGTCGGGAGAGTCTGAGCAGACATCGCCGGACGTCCCCCGATCATCGGAATACGGAGCCTTCTCGCCGTCCTCATCGGGAGCAACGGCGGGGACAGCCGCCTTGACCTCGACTTGCGACCCCCGTGCGCCAGACGACTCTGCGTAGATCTCGAAGCTGGGCGGAGCACGGCACAAACTGGATCCTCCGCAGCTCAGTCTGGCCGACCGCCGGGCGTTGGATTGCTGCGTTCGAACGTTGTTGCCACCGTCGATTCAATCGATCGATAAAGCGACCGAAAAAGGGCACCGTATACCCCGGATTGGAGTCGCTTTAGAGCCACGCGGAGAGTCAGGCGTGCTTTGTTAATCCGGAACGCAATTTAAAAGAGGCAGAGTAGGGATTGGTGCCGCCGTTCCGCAACGGTGTAGCCACACGGTGCCACTGCCGGCTAACTTTCCTGGGCTACCTTTCCGCCACGTTTGGTGGGGGCGCCGCGGGGGATCAACTGGGCATGCGACTTCTCGGAGTCTCGCAACACGGAATGCAGTCGAGTAGTCGTGTCGTAAACGATCAAAAGCTCCTGTTGTCCCGACTCCAGCGCTACTGCTTTACCTTCGACAACTCGTAGACTTGCAGCACGGGTGCACAGCCATTCAGAAGGCATGAAGCACGTGTTCGAGGGCTGGCAATTCAAAGACATGCCGTTTTCAATCTGCCAGCGACTGCAGCGACGTTGGGGATCGAGTTGCGGTGCAATTTGGCACCACGACCCGACTTCTCGACGTAATGCTGCCCAGATTCGCATATGTATTACTAAGGCCTTCTGTGTACGGGATGTCTGGGCGGCAGATCAGAGAAGCTCCTTACTTATTGCAAGGAGCAGAGACCAGAGACAAGCAGGTGGGCTGCCAAGGAGGTTATAAGTACTAGGAGGGGGCGCGTTGCAATATTGGTGAAGCCTAGTCATAAAACGTTTAAACGATGTTGTGGCCAATGTGGTAGTAGATCTCTCTGGCAATTGAGGCGCGTGGCATATCACGTGAGAGATGGATGGTTGATTGTAGAAGGATTCCTTGCAGGCTTGTGCGCGCTCCGTCCAGTAAGTTTTATCAAATCGAAGGCTAGAAGAAGGCTAGCTATGGTCACGTGGTCATGTTAGGCTGAGAAGTGAGGAGAGTAAGGAGGAAAGTGAGAAAGAGGCGTCAAGGGAGCATGGCTTGTGCAGGCGGCTGACGTCATGCCCTCTCCTACCCTTCTATCCTCTTTGTTGGCTGCTCTTAGGGAGCAGCCATCGGGTTTAGACCCTCAGCATGGGCATCGCGAGAGCGACCATGTTTCAAGAGCAGCGACACACGTGCATCTCATTACCATCGGTGGCTTCCAAATGCCCGCATATCGCCATGATAGTGGAGTAGGCAAACTTCGTCAGAGAACAAAGACCCAACCTCCCACGGACTGTAGACCACTCAACAGTAGCCCCAGCGAACCTTTTCATTCATTTAACACTCAAAAGCCCACATGCACCTTATGAAAAGTTTCAAATCGCAGGTTGTTTAGAGTGGGGAAATATTTTTCATAACCCCCCTTTCCCCACCCGATTTAAAGGTGCACTAGAGACGTTTCTGAGATTGTCTGTTCTTGGTGATAACTCCTACGAAAACTTAGCATCCCAGAAATCGAAAAATTATGCTCGTGCAAAGTCCATTTCCCTACTAAAAATGTTATCGAAGTTCGTGCCACTCGTCTTTCTGAACAGAACAATCTGGAGCACATAATTCAGCAGAGGCGCCAGCCAGTCGCAAGCAAAGGCTCCACCAGCAACTCCGCTGAATTCTGTGCTCCAGATTTTGCCGCTCAGAAAGGGGCGTGGCACAAACTTAGATCACATTTTCAGCAGGGAAATAGACGTCGCACAAGCATAATTTCCCAATTGCTGGAATACTAAGTTCTCGTAGAAGGAGTTATCACCAAGAACAGACAATCTCAGAAACGCCATTTAGTGCTTCTTGAGGATGGTGGCCAATGACTGCCTATAAGATTTCTTACCTAAAGAAATCTAAAGCTAAATTTTTCCAGCTGAATCCGACAACACGGTATACAGTACTTTTGCCAAATTCAGTGGCTCTCAACTGCACCAGCTACATTTGCTAACTAGTCTTTTCTTTACTGTTTGTGTTTGGCACATGAGAACTCTAACCAAGCCAGAAGTGGCATCATTTTGACATTGAGGAAACTACTCTATTTCTAGTTGATGTAATCATACTACTTACTCACAAGCAGTCTTCTGTAGCATTAGGTTAAAAAGGTCACATAACAATAGAAAGAAAGGGGGGGGAGGGTACTAGGGGCAGAAAACTTAAGTCTTCAAGCTCTCAGTTTCTTGCCAAGGGAGAAACTCCGTTACTCCCTTTAATCGAGAGCACAACGTCGCATATGTACCAGAATTCAAAAAGAAAGAGGCCAGGTGAACTGCAAGCTTCTTTACCTCACAAACTGGGCAATGTCGATAGATAAACAAACTGTTTGAGAAGCTGCGTGAGCGGTTGTATGTACGTCTTAAATCAGAAAAAAAAGACAAAGTTTAAGAAACGGTCGACATAGAAAACCACCCATTCCAATGTTACTGTCACGGATATCAGCGAAAATCAAATTGACCGGAAAGCTGACGATTGTTCAAATTTTGCATTGCCAAAAAACATCTAAAAAAAAGGGAACAGGTATGATTTTACACAAACGAGCATGGAAGTGTTAGCACAATGGAAAGGCAGTTCGCACCAAACACTACCGGCTTCGAAATGATGCATGTACAGTGCTAATCACACTTGTCTATGACGCGCGAGAGTGCGGCTTTCTCCGGGGAGCGCTAGAATGGTGGCATTCGCGTAAACTAAGCTAGTCACGCGGCGCAACATGGAACGGCCCGCTCGAGGGGTGTTCTGCCCACTCTATCAGCTGGAGGCGAACGCGGAAGAATGCTCGCACGCTTTTTACATACATCATTGCTCGAACAATAAACAAACTGAAGCATGAAGGCATATCAACAACGTCGTAATCAAAAAAAAAAAAAAAAAAGAAAAAACATACCATAAAGCACTTTACTTTTATCGCTTATCAAGAGATAGAGTGGGGAGGATACCCCTCGAGCGGGCCGTTCCACGTTGCGCAACGTGACCAGCTTAGCTTCCGCGAATGCCAGCAGTCTAGCGCTCCCCCGGGAAAGCTGCACGCTCGCGCGTTATAGACAAGTGTGATTAGCACTGTGCTTGCCAATTCCCATAGCTTTTAAAATACATATTCTCACAATAAAGTGCTGAGATTCTGGCGTCGAGCACTAACGCTCGGAAAAGCCGATCCAGGCTGGATATGAAAGCACACTTGCTGCGTCGACCTAGCATGTTCACCCCTGCAGCAATCAGGACTACCCGAGATATTTTTATCCAGTACACAGAGTATCATAATTGCTAACAAATTTACTCGGTAAGAAAGAAAAATCTACGAAATCCTCTTTTCGAAAACGCACGTAAGGCACACAACCAAACTAGCGAAACGAGGAGGTTTAATAAATGTCGCGAAGATAATCCAGAGTTACCGTGAAAAACACAAACACAATTACAGCAAACCGAAGCTTTCACAACAAAGATCCCAGGTCCAAGACGCCCCCAAAATCTCGCGAACAACAGAGAAGCGACGAACAAATGGTTCAAGACAACGTGATGAACAGGCACATTCATCCACGGGAAGATCTATGAACAAGGACAACATAAAACCTAAAAGAAAGGAGGAAGGTT